AGAAAATTAACTCTATCCCAGCCGAAACCAGGACACACGCTCTCTAATGATAAGACTTATTGGCATCCAACTCCCTGATAAAAGCCTCTGTGTTTTGTGGTCCTGCAACAGTATGTGCATTTGAGTTCTTAGGTACTTCTGTGAAGCATACAAACCTTGCTTACATACTGTACACAGTATGAAAGTCACTCCCTTGTCCCTTGAACGACTGCTGGTCTCCAGGCCAGGCACTTTCTGCAGTGCTGGGTATGTGTAGAGGGATGTCAGTTCTTCAGCCTTTGCACCCCAAGGCTGTTCTTGTGACCATATCTTGCTTTGTTTAGGGAGCATGAAATTCTGATTTTCAGTTCAGGATCTTAACGTAGTAAGGAGCTAAAGTCCTAGATAGGAATTAAGAGTTTAAATATTTCCTGAATCTGATGTAACATACTTAAGGAGGCTGTAAAACTGCTCATGACCAGATATTTCATTAGCTATATAAAGGCATTGTAAAATTTTGTGGTTGGTTTATCATGCACACTAAATTTTCATATTTCTTGTTCCAGCATATTTATAGTCAAATGTTCTTGAAATTACTGTTTAAAGATGATTGCTAGTGTGAGGCAGGCTTAATGCTGTTTTGTTTTCTGTACTTGATAACCGCATGGTGTGAACATCAAGACTGCTTTCTCATTTAAATAGTAGGTGAGTACAAAGCGATCAGTTTACCTTCTTTCAAGAAATAAATGATAAGCTGTTTCTAGACATTTTGAGGGAAATAATGAGTATTTCCTGGTGGGTGATTGTTGTTGGGTTTTTTTTTTTTTTTTAAAAGATAATTTCCACCTCCTCCCCAAATGACTAGAACATATCAATGACTGAACATTTTTAAAGCATTTTGTATTATTTGTTGAACAGGAAATATGCTGCTATTGGGCACTTAACTGTAACAGGGTTTTCTGGAAGCTCATCATGGGATACGGGTTTGGTATCTCCGTGAGTAGGAACCTAAGCATAAATGCAACATTGTCTCCTACTGGTAGGAGTGTTTCATTGTATATGCTACATCTTTTATTTGGGCATGGTCTTAAATCTGGTTCTAATGGATATTTCTGTATTATTCTTTTTTTCCCTTTTTTGTTCTCTTTCCTTATCCTTTCTTTTACCTCTGCTGTTTTTTTCCTTCAACAAGAGAATCAGTGAACCTACATAAGTTTTTTTTGCACGTAGTTCTTGCTTTGCTTCTTTTGACTCCTGCTGCAGCCTCATAAGCAATTTTCATATTGCCCATGGGATTAAAAACAGGAACAAAATATCCACATAGTGAAACTCACAGTAGATGGATTCCCTAGAAGGGCTTATTTTCCTTAAACAGCACCAAAAACAACTTTCACTTTTTTCTTCTAGAATGTCTTTTGCTCAAAACCCTAGGGAGAGAAGACATGAAAGATTGATGCCTGTTTTTATTAGTCAGACCATGGGAAGTGTGCTTTGATTCTTTACTTGCTTTCCAAGTTTGGGTATGCAGGGTATTTGGGAACACTGTTAATATATAAAATGCTAGGCTGGCCTTACAAGCCCTGCTTTTCCTACCTGCTGGAAATGTTGGTTGATTTTCCTGCAGTTAGCCCTTTCATTATGAGTCAGTTGGTGCCAATCTGGTTCAATTTTGAGTATGTCTGAATGTTAAAGGCATAAAACTCAACAATAAATAAATAAGCCACATTTTCAGTTTTGCTCTCAGTAGTACCCTCATTGGATGATCTTCAGAGACTGAAGTAATGGTCAGAATTCCATTTGAAATTGTATATTTAATGAATTCTGTATAAACTTTTTTGATTCTACAGAATACTGTAGATTGCTGCCTAGTGATGTTTTCTGTGTTAAAAATGGGGTTTTTTTTAACTTGCCATTTATTTCCCGTCAGGCCAAACCATCTATAAAATCTTTTTATTCATTTAAGAATACAAACACAGAGGAGTATGGTATTGCTTTGGATCCTTGTGGAAAATATGAGCAGTATATACATGTTTTTTAAGAGTGAGAGGAGAAGCAGTTTGTGGCTGTGCCCCAGTAAGCAGGGCACAGCCAGGAGTTGGTCAGATGGGGTTCTAGCCTTGCCTCGTGGCACAGAGATGTTTACGTGTGTTGGTCTTCCACTTCACTACTCTAGTGTCTCTTACTTGTTTTGACTGTAATCTTTTGGCATAGGTAGCATGTAGCACAGAGGGAGTCTGTTGTCACCTAGTACCAAGTTTATGCCCAGAGGCACTGACTTAAATGTATCTAATGTGTGAAATAGGATGAAAGAGATTCTACAGTAATGTATGAAAATAATTTAATGGTGTGAATGCAATGCATACATACTGTAATGTAGTTTGTCTTTGAAGAAGACGGTATGAGAGATAGGTGGTGACTAGTGAAATTTTTGATTCTGAGTGGTTTCCTTTCTTAATAAACAGCTCAAGTGTAATGTTCTGCTCAACTTTAACTCTGTGACAATTCCTTACTACCTGACCTGAGGAGAAAGAGTACAAGTAAAGGAGAAGATCTTATCTGATGCATCTGTAGTAACAGACCTTCACTATCTTTTAAAAGCAGTCTGAGTTCTTGAGAATGAAAGTAGTGAAAATGTTTGAGGTGGCAGAAATTTACATGCATTTCCTTCCCTGGGAATTAATGAGAGTACAGATGGCCACTTAAATTGTTTGTGTGATGTCCACTTAAATTATATATGTGAAAACTTAAAACCATCAGGAATTTTAAACTCAAAATTGCTGTTCATGTTACTATGAGCATAAAACATCTTGTTCACAAATAGACACTACCGACTTTACTTGAAAAATGTCACCTTCTTCCACAGCTAAATTCTAGTCATGGACAGTTCTTGGGGAGCAAGCATACATATGTATAGTGATTTTTGCATGGAAGCAAAAGGAGAAAGGGTATATGACACTTTGTATAAGCATGTATTTAAGTATTACACAAATGTAACTTTCACATTTGTGTTTCAGGAAAACCAGACACCTCTGTGGAAACGCTTCTGGATCAGGAATGTATAAACCCTATGAGTTACTCAAGCCAGCTAGAAGACTCTGGATGTGATGTGTCTAATGACTATGCATTTGATTCTTTAGGCACAGCTTCTGATTTTCACCAATCTGAGCATGCTGACACTTCTAAACATTGGTTGGAAAGAGTTCCCCCATTGCATCTTTGTTGTACTAGCAAGGAGGAATCTCTGACTGCTCCAGTGCAGTTTTTGCAACATCTGCTTGAAATAAGAAAACTGTCAGAAGGAGGAATTCTTCAAGCAGATTTCACAGAACTTGAGAATGATTCTTTCACCGTATGCAATTCAGTGTCTCAGTTGCTTGATGGACTGACTGTTTTTTACAACAGTCCTAAATTTCCTGTTTCTGATTTTCTTACTGAAGCAGTTCGTGTTTTGATCAGTTTAATAACTGATACTAATTTATCTAATCATGTTTTGAAGAAGTGTTTCAAGAAGCTCGAAGAATTTAAGAAAAATCTAATTCAGCTTATTTTAAGAAACAGCAATGTCAATAGGGTAAGTTTAAAACATCTTCCATCTTTCCTACACCATTTCAGTATACTGTAATATTCTCCTGGGTTTATGCACTTTTTAAAATATTAGTTTGTCTTACTATATTTTGAAGAGTACTTCTCAGATTTTTGTAATTGTTCTTGTTGTGATAGGGACAACAAATGCTCTAAAGCATTTGAAAAAGTTCTTGCTCATGCATGCAAGTTCTTCTACTCTATTCCTGAGTATAGGACTTTTAAAAACAGTTGAAAAGGCAGATTAAAACAACTTTATAGAAAATATGAGAGAAAAACATACTGTTTCTCTTGCTGTTATGAAGATATAGTGTTGATATTTACAGAGTAATGACTATACTTTTTTTTTATTTTCTTGTGCACCTAGGTGCACATAGGTTGGTTTGCGTCACTCTCTAGACATTTGCAGATCTGTGTTTTAAAAAAAAATCAGCAAATGAGCAAAGAATTCAGAAATGGTGTGTCCCCAGCACAAACAGCAAATAGGCCTGAGCTGCATTTTTTCTGTATTCATCATTTTGCATTGTTCCATGCATCATCTTGTTAGTTTCCTCATTCAACTGAAATATCCTTAGTCTGTCTTCACAAGACTTCCTATAAGTAATGAATTCCATTGTCTGTCTTAGGATTTTTGGTTTTCATTCTGGTTTGAGTAACTTAGAACAGGCATGATCGCGGAATTGTTTGAGGCTTAGACATACCAGTTTAGTGTTCACACGTATGTAACTACACTACCATTATAGTAAGATTGTATGCCTATAATCCATGGAGCCTAAAGAATGCTGACCAGGGACTAGGTCCTTATTTTAGGATGAGCTCTGGAGTTGCCTTTAGCAAAATGAGAGCCTAGACATCTGCTACACCTGTGGACAGATGTACCCATTTGTCTTAATTTAACATGAACCCCACTCACTGTGTATTAAGTATTGACTCCAGAATTTAAATATCAAACAAATATTGCTACCAAACTAAGGGGGGTGGAGGGCGGGGGAGGGGAGGAGGCGGATATGCCTGTATTTTGGTTAGATGTAGGAAAATGAAAGCATTCAGAAGGAAAACTTCATATACTCAAGATTTTCCAGGACTAGAGCCTTGTGTCTCTAATGCCAGGGTGCTTCTTATTTCAGTGTCACCATTCTGTGATACTTAATTTTAATTAGAGGTGTCCCTGGCCAGTGGTTTGAAAGGATGTGAGCATAGATACCATTTGTGTGGTATTAGGAATTAGTCATGCAGGTGTGACTCCTTTTATTTTTTGTGATTACAGGATACAGAACAAAGAAAACTTGAGCAGGCACTCAGTAAGGACCTGTTCATAGTTGATAATGTCCAGTGTTTCCACCTGTTCCCCTCCTCCACCTGAATGGGTAGTTAATAAGTAATTAAAAAAAAGTTAATTGTAGGAGTGTAACCAAGAGGTTATCCAGAGAGGGATCACTTGGTGATTGGAGGAACCTGGGGGGAGGACAGAAAGAAAAGCAAAGTTTAAGTGAGAGGTGTCACATCCTAAATGAGGGAAAATATCCTCATAGATCAGGGATGTTTCAAGTCTGCAAAGTGCTTTTAGAAATCATTCAGGAAGGGTGGAGTATGTCCACGTAATTTGCAAGTGGCGTGTTTTCTCTAAATAACTTCACTGAAGCAGATGGCTTTTTGTGAGGTATTTTGTATCTTCCTCCAAAATACTGACTTAAGTCATTCCTGTTGGCAGCTATTAGTTCAAACAAACAGATTCAGAGTTTAAAAGCTGTATAAACTAATTATTAAGGAATAATTGTGATAGTTTCTGGATTTTTAGGAAAAAAAGGGGAAATGTATGTAATAATTGCAGTGTTTATAAAGATTTAATGAAAAATTTTTGTAGAGGTTTGGTTTTCTTTAAACTGAATTGAATATGGAAATAAATATGTAGAATTCAGAATTAGTAATGGAAATTGTATAACTAATTCTTCATGTCCTGTGTACCAGAGTATCTCCAAGGGACATTTTATGCTTCAGTTTTAATCATTGCTGTTTACTCAAGTGGCGATTGAAATATCGAGATTATAGGTTTAAAATAAAATTACTATTAATTACAAGGCTGTCATCTGGAAAG